AAACGGCACATGGGCTAAGGCTCTCTCGAACCCATCCCTTGCTCAACAACTATTCAACTTGCTTCTTAATCTCCTTGACCTCCTCCGGATTAGCACGATAAGCTGGACGGTTAGGAATCGATGCTCCGGGAATGAATTCAATTTGATGCTCAATGCCTCGAATTGGAGGCAAACCACCGGGAACATCCTCGGGGAATACATCTTGGTATTCTTCAAGGAGGGTAGCAATGCTTGGGGGAAGCTTGCTCATGTCCTGCACAGATAGACAATTTGGTTTGCATATTAGAAGAAAGAAGTTAGTCTCACCGTCGCTCAAATGCTCAACTTCTCTCAAACTCAAGAACAACTTTGGGGGTGGATGCTCTCCTTTTTCTTTTTCGCTCTTTTTCTTTCCTCTCGGAATCATATGTTTTTCTTTCTCACTCAAATGTTTAGCACTCAAAGTATCTTCACTCTTTTTAACAACTCCCTCTTCACTTTTCTCTCGCGCTCTTCTCTCTTTAGCTTCCTCAACAAATTGCTGATACAAGTACTTTTGGTCGGCATTCACTTCATTGGGACTCAATGGTTTGAGTGTAATCTTTTTTCCATCATGAACGAATGTATACCGGTTCAGGTGCCCATCATGCATTGTCCTTTTGTCAAATTGTCATGGCCTCCCAAGCAAGATATGACATGTCTGCATAGGGACCACATCACACAATACTTGGTCCTTGTAGTCCTTGATATTGAAATCAACATGGACTTGTTTTGTAACCTTGACCTCACCACAATTATTAAGCCATTGCAGCTTATATGGCTTTGGGTGGGCTTCAGTTTTCAGCCCCAATTTCCGAACCACAAGATCACTTACCACATTGGCACAACTTCCACCATCTATGATCATGCTACAAACCTTGTTGGCTATCTTGCACCTATAATGGAAAATATTGTCCCGTTGTTCATCGTTGTTTATCTCCTTAGGCAATGCACTCAAGGCCCTCAATGTGACCAAGGTTAAACCAGCTTCAAGATTATAGTCGGCCTCTTCTCCACATTCATCTCCATCAGCCTCACTATTCTCATCCGAATCGGATTCATACTCTCCACTTGCATTTAGAATCATTGTGTGCTTGTTTGGGCATTGGTTAGCAAAATGTCCTCGACCTTGACATTTAAAACATATAACATCACGACTATGGTTACCTTGAGATTTGGGCTGTTGTGAAGCACTCGACTTGGCCACTTCAGTTCCCATGATTGCCTTGCCTTTGTCATGTCGTGGTGCAAGAGGTGTCTTATCTTCACCCTTCTTTGGGTAGGTGGGTGGGCTGGAGTTCTTGTGGGTAGAGCTCCCAATTTTGTTCTTCCTCCGTAGTTGCTGCTCCACCTTAATGGCCAAATGTAACATTTCTTCCAAGTCAAGAGAAGGATACCTATCAACTTCATCGGCAATATCCCTGTGCAATCCATTGAGAAATCTACTCATGGTGCCCTCCGGATCTTCTTGCACATCTGCATGCATCAAGAGCATTTCCATCTATTTGTGATAATCTTCAACAGTCCGGGATCCTTGAGTAAGGCTTTGAAGCCTACGCAATAGATCTCGATGATAATATGATGGCACAAATCGCTTGCGCATCAATCTCTTCAATTCAGTCCATGTCCGAATGGCTGGCTCTCCATTTCTTCTTCTGGATTGGCTCAATTAGTCCCACCATGTTAGTGCATAGTTTGAAAACTCCATTACCGCAAGCCGTAGTTTACGCACCTCGGACAAGGGTTGAACATCAAAGACAAGTTCAATCTTTCGTTCTCATTCCAGAAATGTCTCCGGATCAGATTTCTCATAGAATGGAGGGATTTGGAATTTGATAGATCGCAAGGCATCATCCTCTGGTCTCCGCTGGTCCCGACGATTCCAATTTCTAGGATGGTCATCCTCATACTCTCCTTCATCCTCACGTTTATCCTCATGAGGTGGTAAATGTCTACCATTTCTTCGTGGTGGGTGATTGTTCCTTGCCGGCAGTACCTCTGGGTCATGTTCTCCTACATGAGTAGGAGTGCCTCCCTGAGTTTGGCTAAGTTCGATCTGATCCAACCTATTGTTAATTGTCTCGAGAGATGCATGGTGCAGATTGCGCATTTCTTTTAGCAAGGTGTCCATGAGAAACTTGAGATCAAACCCATGAGGGTGGTTGTCTTCACCTGCCATTAGAAAAAATATTCTAGATATATGTATAATTTGTTAGAAAAAAATAAAAGTCCTTCACGACCCTCGTGTATCACTCCGCTCGTAACAAACCTCTCCATCTTACACTTTAGCCAAATCCAAGTCGTTGGTAACTAATCCACAGTGTTGCAACCAAATTTCACAAGGAGTAAAGATGTATTTAGACAAGATTGAAGACAAAGGAAAAGGAATTCTTCAAATATAAAAAAAAAATGGAAATGAGAAGAAAGGTTAACTCGTTTCTACCCGGATGACTTAGTACCGTCTTTTGATTGGTACCGACTTTTGAAATTCAATCATTTTCCTTTTTTTTTTTGCAGATTGTTTTTTTTTTTTTAAACACACAAAGATTCAAGTTGAGAAACCTGAATCATGTGGCTCTGATACCAGATGACGTGGAACCGAGGGGGGTGCTTCACGTTTTGTTATGCCCAGTTGAAATAGATATTTAATCAAAGGAAAATTGCAGTACCGAAGTATTCTTGCTTGCTTAGGAACCTAAGGAACTTGTTTTAGACCCAATAAGTCGAAACAAAGACAACTCGAATGAATATGCTAAACCCCTGCGAAGGTTGGAAGCAACGAACCTATGGACTTAACCAAAGACCCGATTTGATGGATAAACCAAAGTGCAAGGAATCGCTCTCAAACACTTAGTTTAAAGAAAGAACTAAAGTTCAAATATATTCAAAAACAAGGATCCTCAAATTACATCTAAATTTTCCCTTTTATAGACAAGGGAAAATAAATGCAATAATTGGAAACTATTACATTCATTCTAGGAAATAGTTAAAACAAATTAATGCAATCAGCCTAGGAAACATAATAGATTCAATGCATTTAACCTTGGACCTTTAAACTCATCTTGGAACTCCACACCCTCATTGATGTCATCTCGGAAATCGACTCTCTTTGATGTCATCTTGAAAATCTACCCTTATTTATATTGTCTTGGAAATCCACCACCATTTAAGGTTTTTTTTTGGAAGTTCAACAATATTTAATTCTTCTTGAAATTTCCACAAATCACATTGGAAATTTAAGTAGCATTAAATAAATTATTGATTGGACTTCTCTAGTGGGGCCAATGAAAATGCACCTTCTTGAAGTTCGTCTTGATCTTGGCTTGGTTAGATTAAAATCAGCAAGGGTGAAAGAGGCCTCCATGCCTGTGTTTTGAATTTATTTTCTTCGTCTAATTGAATTGCTAAGGCTGAAACTTGATCTTAAAATTTTCGTGCTTTGCTCCGAGTTATTGGTCCCGGGGGTATTTGAGGTGCTTGCATGGTTTTGCTTAAGACGGCCTCGTCAATCTAGCTTCCTCCTGCACTCAGACGCATAGTGCCCCATTCTTCCGCATTTGTAACATTTGATGTGACTCTTGTTTCGGCAACTTCTTCTGTCCGAGCCTTTCGCATTGTTGTTGTTGTCGTCTACACTAGTCGCAATTCCTTCGACTATCTCTTTCTCTCCATTGTGCTTTGGTGAGAAGCAATTGATTCTCTCCAAGAGATATGGGTTTCCCTATTTGTATAGGCTCCTCAAGCGCCTTCAGTTGCCATATCGTTTCCTCAAACAACATAGTTCTCATGTCACAAAATCACTCAATTTCTGCAATAACGGGATAATAATCGCTAGGGAAAGAATCAAACAATTTCTTTACCCAGGCCGTGTCATCCAATGTCATCCCGATGCTGGAATATTTTGCGGCCATCCCTCTCAGCTTTCCCGGTATGCTTCCAGGGTTTCTCCATATACGCATTTCCTAAAACTCGCTTCTTAGTGTCGGCAGACGTGCCGTCTTAACACGATATCCCTAACGAATCTGGTTTTTAAACTCTCTCAAAACTCCATTGCAGTCTTCTTCGGTGCGACTTGCAATAATAGGTCCTCCGGGAGCATTTGGAAAAAAGGAGCGCCCTTGCCGCCTTATCCTTTCTTGCATCTACCGCTCTTTCTTCTATCAATTCAATAGCTTCCAAACACCTTACGCTTCCATGATCGCCTCAACCTTGATTGACCAAGTTGTGTAAGTTTTCGATGTCAACTAAGGATAGACAAACGTCACCCCGATGTTGTCTCTCATCCCCGCACCCTACGCCACTATCGACATCCTTTTGCACATAGGATATTTGGGCATGCAATATTTATACCCGATTACGCCAAGTTACACCAGACTCTTATACCACTTATGAGTTTTACCAAAAAAATAAAAAAAGAAAATAAAATACATATATTTGATAAAAGAAGAAAAAAATATATATATAGGAGGTACACAACAGTTTACTTTATTAAGTAGAAATATATATATATATAGTTAATAGAAAAGAAAGTTCAATGAAGTGTGTTGTGTGGACGCGTGTGTAAAAAAGGTGAACCAGCTACTATATATATATATGTATATATATATATGAAAAAAACAGAAGCAAAGTAGGAAGAAAGGAGAATGGGACAGAGACGAACATGACTATTTTATTTGTATTGAATCTCTTCTATTGAAAATGAATAACTGAGGCTACAATATTTATAGACTTTCAAAACTATTAGATAAACATAATATAACATAAATTTCGAAACTGAAATATTTAAAAATACTCAATAAAGCATACCTAAACTTTGGGAATAAGCAATTCTTATTCAAAATATAATTAAATATATTTTAAATTATTTTGTCAAATTCTAACTTGATTCCACATCAATATTATTTCCAACATTTTCTTCAAAACGTTGAAACGTAATGCCAACACTTGCAAAATTCAAATAATAATACTTTCTTTGTCCCATAAAAGGAGTGATGTTTTTCATTAGTAATCTTATGTAATAATCTTTGAAGAAAACGAAACCCTAAAAATTTACAGTAATTGGTTGGCAGTATAATTAACCAGAGTTACATGATGAGAAGAAATAATTGACAGAAAGCACTCCCACAACATCGTGTATATTGGTATGCATATACATATATATTACATTTATGACTCACCCACTACACATATACATGTATATATATAGAGAGAGAGAGAGTGAAAGGGAGAGAGAGAGAGAGAGTGAAAGGGAGAGAGAGAGAGAGAAGTGACAGACAGACCCATCACAATCATCATGTTTGCAATGACGACGACGCTGTTTTCTTGGCTGCATGCATTTCGATCATCCATCTGCATTCTTCAAAAGCTAAAATGCCCCACGCAGCCTTTTCACCACTTCTTTCACTGTCAAATTGAATTCTTTCTCCATCTGCATTCACATCCAAAGTTAATTAAATCGCAGGCAGGATTAAAGCTGAACACCATCGCCATCGCCATCAATAAATAGAGAGAATTAATTAAATTAAATAATGTTGAGTTGAGTTGAGTTGCCGAGGTCCGGGACCCCTAGTCTGTGGTCCGGGACCTGGTAGCAGCAGTACCTCGGCGACAATGGTAATGTCGAGGGCAAAGGTCCCGAAGGGGGTGACGTTAGTGTTGACGACGGCGAGGTTGAGGGACTCCACCTTGGTGAGTAAATTTACCAAAATACCCCTCTGCTTCTCGCAGTGCACCCGGAGGAGTATGTGGTTCTTGCACACCCTCGCTTCGATTTCCGGCAGCGGCAGCTCGTCGGAGCAGCTGCTCTTCTCGTCGGAGGACGACCCCTCGCCGTCGTCCTCCGCCGTCACCTGCGACTTCTTCACCAGCACCACCGACTCCATCGTCTGCTTCGTCGCCTGCTCCTCCAGCGTCTTCACCCTCTCCTGGAGATGCTTCAGGTACTTTATGGCGTCCCCCAAAACCGAAGTCTTGTCCATCTGCGCGAATCAAAGGTGTTCGACGAAATGCCTCAATGGATTATTTAAATAATTAATGGCGGACGTACGGACGGAAGGACCTACCTTCTTGAGGCCGGGAACTATGGTGGAAAGCGCGACGAATCTCTGGCTGAGCTGCTCCCTCCGCTTCCTCTCGGCGATAATATGGTCGTAAGTCTGCGACGGAGGCCTCACACGGCTGGGTTTCTTCGCCGGCGGCGCCCGCTTCAGCTGATCTTCCGGTGGTTCAGTGACCGCTGGTTCCTCGCCGGAGACCTGATTCTCCGCCGCGCCGGCGAAGTTGAGTATGAGCGGCGTTGAATTGGGATTGGGAATTGGAATTGGCGGGAAGTTGGAGTAATTGTTGGGCTTGTGGAGCTTCGGCGGCGGCGGAGGCGGGGAATTGCAGAGAGAGGAGATTGAATTGGTGCTGGGGATGTTGACGAGAGTGGAGGAGGAGGATGAGTTGTTGTTATTATTATTGTTATTATTGTCGAAGTCGAAGTCGAAGTCGTGTCCGAGCATGGCGGCCATGTCTTCGTCGAAGGAATCCATGAATTCGCACTGCTCCATCACCATAGAGCTGTCCAGACCCTGCTGCAACTAATTAATTAGTTCAGGATCTTTTTTTTTTTTTTTTTTTCTTTTGAAGTGACTGACTGAAATTTCCTGACATCATATGACAGACAGGTAGAAGACACCATCAGTCAGGTAGATCTGATCTGATCGACGAAACTATATCTTCTTGACATATGGACAAGGATGAGTTAAAGAAATTGGTCCCGAATTGGAAGTTAGAGGGGTTTAAAGAAAATTGGTCCCCTTTCCAACATGGTGGTTTCCTAAAACAGCACAAGAATCATGGTACAGGCAGTAACGAATAAGGATACATATATACATATATATACATGTATATCACTATCTGATCTTACTCAGTTAAGAGAGAGAGAGAGAGAGAGAGAGAGAGAGAGAGGGAGGGAGGGAGGGAGGTTTAGTTACCATTTCAGTGAGCCAGGAGGAGTTATCGTAAGAATCCATGTTTGATAGTACTAGTATTTTGATTTGCCTGGAGAGAATTATTCCATTAATTAATACAGTAATTATTACAGGGTAGAGAGAGAGAATGTGTACGTACCTAAGTAGGTGGAGTGAGAGAAGGGTGGTCTCTGAGTAGAAAAGTTGAGCAGAAATGGCACGACTTATATAGAGAGACCAGTGTCCACTATGCAACCCGGAATAGGAATAATAAATAGCCCCCTGAATATGTATTGTATTGTATGAGAGAGAGAGAGAGAGAGAGAGAGAGAGTATGAGAGGCTACAATACAAACTGAGGGCTAATCTCCACAAGACTTAATCTGATGGTATAGACAGACACCATCGCTCTCTCATCTTTCCACTGCATCCCTACATCAATCTCTCTCTCTCTCTCTCTCTCTCTCTTAATTTCTTTGTCTTTATGAATTCAGCAAATAATACAAGCAAAATGCAGTGGGTTGGTTTAATTTATGGGATCCTATTCAAAGTAAACAACTATGCAGAGTCCCTAAAAAAAAACTCACTCCTACCATATATATATATATATATATGGTTAAAATATTAAGGTTTTGTCTATTTTCTTGAAATTATTGGGAGCCCATTTTTTAGGTTTTAACTTACCGGTTGTTACTTGGACATAAAGAAAGTTTGAAGAACAATTATTCAAAGGAGTTGGAGTTACATATGGTGGAGCAATTATGAATTGGGAGTTTCAACATTTATGCAATCAATTATTGACAAAGATCTACAGTGCGTTTGCGAATTGACTGTTAACGGATTCAATTAGCTGGTTTAACTAATTACTGATTCAATTAGCTATTTCTACTAAAGTACTTGGTAAAACAATTTTTTTATGTTAGTTGTTTATATGTAAAAATAACAATTAAGAATATTTATATATTAATTTTTTTTTAAAAAAAAAAATTAATTTTGTTCATCGCACAATTAAAAATATGGAAATTTTTTAATACAACATATATATATATATATATATGTGGGATTTCTTAGAGTGCTCACTAGGCTATGTTAACTGGCTTTGGTCAGCATATTATAAAAATATATAAAGCATTAGGTTTTGAAAAGATATGTGTTGTGTATCTCATTATTATATATTATTTATATTGTGCTATATTAGTATTTTATATGTGTTGAAATCAATGATAATATATATTTTGTGGATTAGTATGTTTTATTTATATTATATTAATATAAAATGTGTATTGATTATTTATTTGTATGTACTAAACTTGTTTAGGTATATTTGAGGTGATGTTAGTCCCATATTTAATATATCAATTCAATATACTACTAGTAACAATGTACATACACCAAGGCTATGCAATTAAAATTATACAGTTTGATACCAAATGGAATTTAATATAGGTTAGATTTTCTCAATTCTAAGCATGGATGTTGAAATGATTATTTTATTAATATAAAATTATTCTATGAAAACTCAAAAATTGTATTTATTTTAGAAACCTATAAATAGGCATGATATAAATTCGATAGACTCAACTCAAAAGACTTAACTAAAAAACAATCTAATCAATAATGGATAAGACTAAATCATAATCTAAAACAACCAAATTTAACATAAATAATAAACTTAATATCTAAATCAAATATTTAAAATAGTTTAATACTTCCTCAAATTAAAGTGGAAACGTAGAAAATAACTTAAGTTTACGAAGAAAATTGAATACAAATGCAAATGTAACACAATCTCAAATGCAATCGAACACGTAAACACAAATTCAACTTTGAATGAAATCAAGGTTAAATGAAAATGCAAACACAAACTCAGAATTCCCAAAATTCTCTGTAACTTCCTCTTCCTCTAGATGACGTGAGGATGCTTCCATGTTTGCTGCTGTAGTTGCCTCAGAAATCATCTTGGCTGGTATGCCTTCATAACCACAAAACTAGACCGTTAGCTTCCTTCAATTCGATCAAACATATTCTTACTCTCAAAATTGGAATATCTTCGAATACATTTCAAGTTCAATGTACCCGGAGAAATATAATTCAACTGTTGACCAACCCTATTCACCAGCCGTTCGAAGAAAACCCAACTTTAGAGGATAAAAAATTGACAGGTCCAGTAAAACCACGATTGCCTCATATATCTCTACTGAATGCAACTAAGGAATTGACTAATTAGAAGTCACAATGCCTTCAAAAAATCATTGGTGTTGCCAAAGATAAAAGCCGCAACGAGGATTGTCCACACGACATTGATCCAAACTTGAGGGATTCTATGTCCCATGATAAAAAATGAAAAAAAAAAACAAAAAAAAAAAGATCAAAATACCATCTTCATTTTTACCAACTTACCGTGGGAGCATATTCGGGACAAAATTTAGTCGTTTATACATAATTTTGTCCTTCTAACCTTCAAGCACATGCGGATGTCATAAAGATAACCATAAGAAATGAGATGATTTAGTTGTGAGATAAAAAAAATCTAGAAAAGAAGAGTCTCTACTTGAGAAGACCATACGACCAATGTAACATCATCGGTCCAATCTCTTCCAAATTAAAATCCTCTTCTTCTATGAAAAATCAACTAATGTGGAAAGTTATTATCTTACATAAATACAGTGCATCGCCGGGCATGTAAACAAGGGTTCCTTTGCTTGGAGGAGCCAGATCATCCATAAATATTGCCTCTCAAGCCTTCCAACTAGCTTGAAATATAGCTCGGTCTGAAAAAAGATCATTTCTCAACTTGGGGGAGCCGGATCATCCGTAAATATAATCTCTCAATCCGCTCAGGGTGCAAGTTGCTAACATAATCTAGTTGGAGAAGCAAACATTCATCAACTTGAAGAGTTCGGATCATCTGTACACGTGGCCCCTTAAATCTCTTAATCTGCTTAGGGAGAATATTGGCCTTATAATCTAGCTAGAGAAGTGATTTTATCAAGTGAATATACTTAAATATCGTTACCCCCATAACCATGGAACACCTAGATACCATGGGTCTAAGAGCTCATCATTGTTGGGCCGTTTCCCTTTATCAAGTGAACGCCTGAAGGACTGTTTTCCTTTTAAGTGACATCTACGTAGCGATAACATGTCAGTCGCATCAGCACCACGTCAGCAACGGCTGCCAGCGTGGCGAGTCCAACACCGGAAGATCATTTTAGCGAAATTTTTTTACTTACGTAACTATTTTCAGATAGAGTTCACTTAAAGTCTTAAAATAATAAAAGAGGGTCAGATATGAGACTAAAAAATAATTTACCCTTATTTAATTTACTGTCAAATTTATTTTGATTCTATATATGCACATAATATTTTTACATCTTCCATTTTAAGCAGATTTCGTATTAATAGTTGATATTTATTGTAAAATAACTAATATATATGCATAATTAAACACCATATATTTATTTTATTAGAATTTTATTTCTTTCAAAATATATTATATTTAATTGAATTTAGACATTTATTTTTTAATACCTACCATAACATCAATGAATTTATCGTTTAGTTGTGCATAGCACGGCTCTCTACTAGTATATATTGATAATTCTTTCCATATATATTATTTATAGACATTTGTTCTTAAAGTTTTGTTCATTTAGTGGTTTTTAGATGAATTTGTTTTTTATGTTAAGTATGGAGAGTCGTATTAATAATATAAAAGTGATATTTTGTGTTCAATTATTAATTTTTTGTGATTGAATAAAATATATCTTATATATATGGTATTAATATGAGTATATAATATACTACCTTCGTCCGGCTCTAAGGGTCTTATTTACTTTTTGTGTGTTGATATTTGAATGTTAATTATTATATCAAAACGTAGTACAAATTAAGAAAAAATTGCAAAAGTACTTCCATTAGTGTCTTATAATACTAATATACACTACAAGAAAAAATCAGTTTTGTAACAAAATTTTTTTGTCTCTAAATCTACTTTTTCCATTACTAATGACATTAGAGACCTAATTAGGAATGGAATTACGTTAGCTACATGAACTTGAGGGACGGAATTCCGTTACAAATATATTATTTTTTGTAGTGTATAAGAATATTTATACAAAAAATTATACAAATATATAAGAACATTTTTAATTTTAAGTACAATAACGCAAAAAATAAATGTGACTATTAGAGACGGACGAAATGAATATTTTTTATAATATTTATAGAGAATCGTGCCAAAAATATATATATATTTACTGAACAAAGTAGTTTGAAAAATCTGTTTATTCATGTATTCATTTTTTATGTGTACTATTTATCAAACTTTATCCATTTAAAAAATATTATTTAGAATTTATTTTTTTATTTAAACGTTTATTATCTATTAAAAACACTATTTTGTTTAATCTAATTTTGTACTAGTATCAAACAGTCTAAAAAACATTCGAAACGTATCAAATCCCACGGGTACACGTACATTAGAATATTATGTTAGAAATCTCCATCACCAAAAAGTTCTTTAGATAGTTTTGAAACAATATTTTAAATTTGCTTGTCATTTTGCGTGGATTTTTTCCCCTTCCAATTATTCAATTTTGTTTGCTAATAATAATAATAAATAATAATATTTCCTTTGTCCCACCTACTATGTCAAATTGTCATTTATGTCCGTCCCACATCACATGTCACAAATAATTATACACTTTAATCTTATTTTAAAATTTCTAATTTAATTTTTTTTAGTTTTAATTAAACTAATTAGTTATTTTAACTTTAATATATAATTATTTATATTATAAAATAATTATTTTTACTGATACATTCTTAGTTATCTGCTAATTATATTTATCCTAAATTCTCTCGTGTCTACAGTGACTCAAACATCCACAGTGGGATGGAAGGAATAATTGAAATAGGGCAAACATGGAATTGGAGACCAATACGATAACTGTCCAATTCAATTAGGCTCCATTTTTGTTTTTTTTTAATACTGAAATTTGAATAATAAAATTTTTAATTAAAATAATTATTTGATATGATATAAATATGTATTGTTATTATAATTTTTAATATAAAATTAAGTTTTATTACAGTATAATATAAAAATAAAAAATAAGTATTTATTTTGATAATTTTAGGAGAAATTTTTATTAATAGTAAACAATTGAATAAAAACTTACAATCAATAGAGTTCCAAGTTTATTGGTAAAGTGTTTCTTTTTTCCTCTCTTTTATCATTTAAGAACTTT